AAATTGAATTACTTCCAATGGCAATTAAACAAATGTTGGTCCAAAATGTGATTTCCCTATATAAACTATAGTAAAGTTTACCCCCTCCCCAGGGGGAAACGTGAGACCCCAGGGTCAGGAAATTCACAATTTTGGTAAAGTACCTTAAGACCCTTCCATCTATGAAGAGAATTTGATTCTACCATATCTGGGTCTTGAGAAGAAGATTTTTGAAATTTTTAGTCAATTTGACCCTTTTTGGCCCCGCCCCTCAGGCCCCTGGGGGCCGGGGACCAAACCGGCAACTATTCACTTGAGACTTTGTTTCAGGTGACCTAAAAATAACTTAATAAATAATCAATATCTCTATAAAAATTAGTGGTTTGTCTAATTTCAAATTCAATATCCAAATAAATATTCAGAGATGATGAATTTATAATACTGTTATTATCATTTTTATAAGAAGAAATAAGTTTTGTTAGGCATGGACCACAATTCTAATTTTAAAATTGCACTTCATGGTACAGTTGTGTAGCTCCATGTTATCAGACAGTTTGCTTGGCTGCGTCATCACATTCATTGAAATTTTATAAATCACCGCTCCTCATGATAACTCTGACCTGACTGACCATCAGTTGTTAAAATTCGAAAGTAAAAATTAGCATTCATAGATAGATATATTTCTTTTATAATTCAAATTGTTAGTAATATGCTAGCTGGTCTTTCGTGGGCCATGTCTGAAGGTTAACTCATATTGAACCTTTAGATGAATGCAAATGTGATAATAATATTTCATGCTTCTTCCTAACCGACCGGAAATCAATTTCTTTATTACTGCAGTCCAGTAAACTACGTTTAGCTGTAAAAAGATGGTGATGTATAAGGATTTACATGTTTCAGTGTGAAGTTTAATATTTCAACAATAAATATGTTTACAATATTACTCTGTAAAGTAGATAAGACAATAACTAGACACATATATAATTATTCTCTTGTTTCTTTTGTTGATCGTGCGGAACTTGTGAGTGGGACATGGAAAAACATAGACTTCCACTTTACAAATAATTCCTTGTATTTATTCTATGACCATGAAAAATTTCCAAACTCCGTGAACAAGAACAATAGGTTACGTAAATTTAGGAAGGACGTATGTCAGCCCACTCATTACTTGGAAAAGCCTACTTTCCAAAAATTCACCATTTTCCAGTGTTCTCTATAACTTAAATAGAAAAACGTGCCAGGTTAGTGTGACCCCATGACGTTTTCTGAAATTCGCGACCTTTTTCCAACTGGCTCCGCTCCGCACCCTCTGAACACGTGTGCTTACTGCTTTGCTATATATAGTGTTATACAATTCTTTTAAAAAATCAAGTGATATGAAATCAAATGTATATATGCTGGAAAACCAATAATCATCGAAATCGAAACACAGATACACACATAATGGGAATTCCGACATGAACATATTCTATAGTAGGTCAAATGTGGGCGGCAAGTTAAACAATTGCTATTAAAAAGGACGTCACTATCTAAGTTGTTACGTGATACTTGAATTACATACAATTTGAAAAAATAACATGTGTGTTAAGTGTGCATGGATGATTTGCTCAGTCAACTATGGACATCCCTCGCATTGATACATATCACAATTATCTTTATTCACAAACAACATTTTTATAACAGTTATGAGTATTTATAAATTATGTAACAAAATTATACATAAGTAATATTTGTTTGTGTGTAAAGTACATGATGTTTGTGAATCTGTCACGATAATTTAACGATAATGGAGGACACCAACGGATAACCATCCTCACATTCATTTGAATACTCATGTAGACTATTAAGAAAATTACAAATTTCCCCGTAGACAAATTTAGGACATGTAACTTATCTGATTTTAGTCAGATATGTTTTTGGAACTACCCGGTACCAGGAAAGGCGGTTTAACCTCAGATCACCAGTCATGTAAATACTTAATGAAGTAGATATGGCAACATTCCATGACGTAAACAAACCTACTTTTGAGTTCACAATAATATCGCCAGTCGATGACTACAAAAGGAGTGGAAATCATAAAATAAAAATAAGCAAACGTAAACATGGCTTCATTGCTGATGGGAATGAGTTGTTTCGTATTAATACACAATAACGACGAAATAATCTGAGTTTATATCCAACCTACATATAAAAGGCATGTTTCATGGTTTATGTGTTTCATATATTCTTTTTCGTATGTTTTACATAATATCACGTGTCTTCCCTGGTGTCGAGTTCGCGGAATAACAACACAGCCAATACAAAGTTGACCGTCAAATTTACATGGCAAAAAGAATGAAACCCTGGGTGTTATTTCATATGACAGATATCTATAGTGTAATGTACGGAACGTGATATTATAAGGTAAACAAAAATGAGTGTGTAAATTCATTCAATCTGTAACTGAAAGAAATGATTGTATTTTAAACATATAACTACGTTACGATGATATATCAGATTAGTTTTGGCGTTGGTATTAATAAATTGTAAATAAAAATTCATATAGTTTTGTAACAATTGTATTAGGTTTAATGTGTTAAGCTTATAAGTTAAAAGCAGACATTGTCCGCTTTTTGTCCTTATTTGATCTTTCCTTTTATTAAAATAATCGACATTTAAAGGCAGAGAGTCCTCGCACTATGTTGTACCTAAAACAAAGAGAAGTTCCAAATTGTTTGACATCTTGTTTATCATTACGATTTCCTTCTTTCACACCAACATCTTCACTGCTACATGGATTCAATCATTAGGCCTCTAGAAAATGAATTAGGAAGCTTATTCACTTCCCTGCCGGTCATACTGGTTTTAAATTCTTTTCAAAATAATAAAAAAAAATCTTAGAAGGCCCGCATTCCTTTGTCTCAAAAAATCAAAAAAAAAATCATGCTTACAAACATTAGAAAATTAGAAAATGATGGTACTTTCTACCATGACTATAAAAGCCGTGAATACAATTGTAGTCAAATCATACGAGGTCATGAAAGCTTTGTGTACGTTTAAAAAAGCCCATATACACTACATCAATCACGATAGGAAATCTGCACTTTAGTATTAATATAAATTTTAAGTTGAGGACGATTAAAGCTGGTCCTTATTCGTGTCATACCGTTAAAAATGTTATCAAACGTGTTCGAAAATTGATTTAATGATACCATGGTTAAGCTAACACGGAACTACGTTTGTATTATATTGTCCTGTGTGATGTTATAAGTGGTGTGCAGATTAGAATCACTTGAATAAATGAACGGATACAAGGATGAACTTGAAGATAATAGTCACGCTTATACATACAAATGTACACACGTAATAAGCTGGTCACGAACTCGAAATGAGTACGTGTAAATAGAGAACACTGACCATCCGCGTGCCAGTCTAATTAGTACGTGTAAATAGAGAGCACTGACCATCCGCGTGCCAGTCTATTGGAGCAGAATTATTTATCCGAGTCATAGAAATAATAATAAAAGCCATTTCTTCCACGACCACTTTACATGTAGGTTTTCCCATTTTTCCTCATCGGATAAACCTGCTAGGAGCTAGCAAACATTTTTGGTGACCCACTAGTGGGTAACACCCTGGGCCAAGATGTTCAAAAGGTGAATAACTTAATCAGTGATTAGCGCAAATTTTAATTTGTGTGTAACTTCAAGACAAAACTATTGAATTGGATACAAATTTCCAGATATCAAATATTTAGTAGAGTTAATTTACACGCTAAATTGTGCGATTTTACCTTAAATATTGACGAAATTATTAAAGGTTGAAAAGTGTCATTAAACAGTGATTAAGCTAACCACCTTTTGAACTGGATGTTATTTCATTTGTCAATCTTCTATGGTAACAATGTTCCGCGATGTCAACTTCCATTGTGACGTCATAGTTTTATGGCAATTTCTTTCCCGATCGGAAACAGGAGTAATGTATTTCAAAGAGAAACATGTTTTTACAGATATAATACAAGATTGTTTTTTTTTAGAGAAAATGTCCCTTAACTCGAGATGGTTGATTATCATGAATAAGTCTCGTTAGTTAATTTTCAAACTGTAAAAGACACACAGTAAACCTCATGCCGTCATACAATAAAAAAAATCAACTAACTCGAGTTAGATAAACATGATAACCAACCATGCAGAACCCCTATTTAACTTGCATTTCTTATACATAAATACCCGTGTAAAAACGTGATGATGAGTCACAACAGGATGAAATAATACGATGCTATATCTTATGCTTCACTGCCTGTAACGGCTGTATAGCTGTATATAGTAGACAGTCTATGAAAAATTACCGTCTTTAAACAACATAATCTTTGAAACATTACCATCTATTAAATTCTTTATAAATTAAATTTTTCTATAGAGAATTGTTTCAGTCTGTATAACAAAAACGCTGTTTACAAACATACTGAATAACAATAATTGTTTAGAAATATTTTGTAAAACAAATAACTATACAAAAATGTTCATAAATATTCTGTATAACATAAAAAAACCTGTTTATATTTTGAATCCTACACAAGCACGTTTCATATAGAGGGAGGAAAGGTATTAAGGTATAAAAATTCTCTAATCATTTATGTGAAGTAAGAAAGTTACAAAATAAATTTCGATAACAAATTGTAGATGAGATCAATTACACAGTATAATACGTATACAGTAGAGAAATGATTTCTTTTTTTACATTAAACAACTAAAAATCAAATCAATTTTATCCTTGAGTATACTTGATTCTATACATTATTTCCTTAAACAATTAAATCACTTGAAATATCATCGGAAATCTAGTATACTTGATCCTTTTTACCGCACCTCTTAAAGCACATTCTTATAGGGCATACATTTTGATATTGTTTTCGATTTCACTACAAAATTATTTCCTTAAACACTTAAAAAACTTGAAACTCGTATCATCGGAAATCTAGTATACTTGATCCTTTTTCAGCAGTTTTAAGAGCACATGATCTTCTTCAGAGCACATTTTGAATGTTTAAGATTTCACTTCAAAATTATTTCCTTTCATAACTAAAAAGCTTAAGACATATATCATAGAGAATCAAGTATGCTTGATCCTTTAGACTAGTCATTACGGTACATCCTTTCAGCGCAAAATTTGATTATTAAGTTTTAATTCCACTATAAAATTACTTCCTTTAAAATTTTAATAACTTATATCATAGTATTCTTGACCTTTTGATCTGTTGTCTTTACAAAACAACGTCCTAAAATGACCGTAGCTGTTGATAGGATGTTAAGTTAAACCCTGATAACCTACCAACCTTAAATACATTCTTGTTGAGCATCGTTTGAATTTGTTAAAGTTTCACTATAAAATTAGTTCCGAACACATTGAAAAATGTATTTTACTTACATGACAATCTGTTTGCACATCACCCCAACCTAACCAAAAGTCGTAAAATCAAATCGATCGTATAGCATTCTATGAGAATATAATTCCTAGTAAAGAGGTTTCCTTCCTGGAATACATCTATTCTTCGCGTGGTCCAATCATGGATATTACAGAAACTGAATCTATTACCGATAACTCATATTCTCGGAATCATTTTACTCGAGTTACATAGATGTTGATAGCTTGTAGATTCACGGATAAGCTATCTGAATTCAAGATACACAGGTCGTGTGAGAAGGAAAAGTGAACGGATCTAATTTACAAGCGATATGTCAGGACGTATACGGTGTATAAAGGTACAGATATTGTAAGTCAGTTTCCTATTATAGTTTGAAAATTGAAATTGAAACCAATTTTACAAGAAATAAGATTTTATTTTAATTTTGGACAAACACAAACGGATTTTGGTTATTGTAAAATAACTTCTTGTAAAGTCGTCTGATCAGATATATACGAATGCGACCGGCTAATGATAATATACAAATTAATGACGAACACATTTAACATAACCAAGTAAATGACTACTTAATTTTAGATATAGAAATGAGCTTAAATAACAGTTTAGTGTACATTCAGATCGCAATCTTCACAACGGACCAATAACTGTATTCGCCGATTCGTTGATTCGGAGATTTAAACTAGTCCTGTATTTGCCATTATAGCGCCTAGCAGTTAGCGCAGTCTACATAAGATTTACGTCACTACCGATAACACTTCCGCTTTGGACAAGGAAGTCAGCAAATGCAGTAAAATTTCCAACATATCTAAATGGATAACAAGCGGGAAATAACACGAAAAATACATGCATGTGATCTGGAAGTGACGACACCTTTAAGTCAACAAAGGTATGCATAGTCAGTGGTTTACATATATATATATTGTATGTGTGTGTGTCACTAGGATATTTTTAGTGACCTGTACATTTTACACGTGTAAACCAGGTCAACAGTGTTTACAAGAAATGTGTATTTCGTGGGTTTTTGAAAAAAATTCCACTTTCTCAAAAGAATTGTTATTTAGGTAAAATGTGTCATTTTTATATAATTAGTCGAAATCGGAATATGGTTGCAGCATATATATATAAAGCCAGTTTAGTGGAGAAGAAGTTCACTGTCTACCTAGGTGGTAGGACAGAGTCTACACGGTCCTATGATACGTTAATTTATATATATGAATATATAAATATCTATAACTATAAATATTTATATATTATGTTTGTGAATTCAATGCCGTCTTCGTTTGTACAACAATGCCTAATTATAAAGAATTAAATATAAGCATACCCACAATTTTCGTTACATGCATTATATTTCTATTTTCAAACATTTAAGGGAAACCCAATATTTATCGTGTAATGTATACTCTGTGTATCTATCCACAATCTTTTGTATATATGTGTGCTCTTTGTTGAACCGTAAAAAAGCAACACCGGAGAAACCGATGACGTTACAGATCTATTTTTAGAAGCAGGGAATCCCCTGTGACAATATGATATATATTTTCAAGCAAAGTAGTGTAGGGTTTATTTAATCAAAATGCTTCTCGAAGTGGTTCTCCAAAGCTTCTTCCTTTTCTCAGGTATTTATACGATTATATTTTACGGTGTTTTTGTGTTTATTACAGTAAGACACGTTAAGTAAACAATTTTTGAAAATAAGAATTTATCCTCATATTTTTAGTACCGACCTGTAAAGAATGTTTGACAGACTTAAATGTAATAACATTTTTTTCGATTCAATGACTGACAAATTTGATGAGAGATTAAGTAGTTTTTTCCAGTATAAAATGATAACTAATACATTTGTACTGATTACATACTCTTTTTTACAGTTTGTGTTAAATTTTCTCTTGTAACCAAATGGATGTGGTAGATGCTATTCCGACACACGTGTATGAAAATATCTACATTCAAAGCCTTTTGATGAAGTTTGAAATATGAGTTCTATGAATATTGTATTTAATCTTGGACATTACTATAGTTCCGACTGTGTAGTATTTCATCTTCCTCCTTTCCATAGTTGGACAGTAAACATTTCATCTTCATTACGATAATTCTTTTAGGAAAGCATTCCATGTTTTTCACAGCTCTAGCTCGGATGCTCGTTGCGACTGTGTAGACATCATTCTGTCGAGGTTTGATGCCGTGAATAATACGTGTTCAAAAGTGTACCAATCACCTGAATATCTTAGGATAATTACGAAGTGATGAATGGAGCTGTAAAATGATCGAGCAATTTCGTCATTTTTTTAATTTTAATTTTTATTTGGATGTAATGTAGCTTATTTGCATACCAATTATAAAATGGAAGTATGTTATCGGTGTCGTAAAAGACTTTGGACGTGTTTGATAAAACAGGGATTAAAAACAACGTTTTTTGTTTGTTTACGAACAACATTTTGTGTCTGGGAATTATGTTTTTTCAGAGGGAATAACTATATTGAAATATTTAGATAACACTGCTATGACCCTGGGTCCTGAAAGGTTAGTTAAACATGTAACACAGCCGGATGTTTGACTGAAGGTTTGGTCTGATCGCTTCCTATTATAAAGCTAAATAATGTGTGTGTATAAATAAGCCACTCCTTTTACCGAGCATGTAAACAACAATGTTGACAGACAGAAGTTCTACTGCGTCACTAAACCTTGTAAAACTGTTTTGGTCACTTAAGCATGTATCTGTACAAAATAAGGTGCGGCCGATAACTCAAATCTTACCATTCATCATTATCATATGACTGAGATAGGGATTCCGTAATCATGATTGCGTATTGTCAGAAACAATCCCGCGTCTTACACCGAGTTCAGTATGACAAAAATGAAATTGTGACATTTTATATAATATGTTTCATCAAGTTTGTTTTACATAACATATGAAATACACTACAAATATAAAACCTACGTTATGTTTGCGTCATTCCTGTAAAAAGGTATTGGGGATGGGTTAATGGTCTAGATTAAATTCAGATAAGAAATGACTGTATGCAGCCAAAATTTAAAAAAAGTTAGTACAAATTTATATCAAATCTATATCACAGCATTGCCGTCCTATGGATAAATTTATCACATATGCAAAACACCAGACGACCTTCTCAGTTTTCAATTTGCTATTTTGTTCTTGTAGTGTATCTCTACGCTCGTCTTGCTATGACTTTATCTGTTTCGAGGACGTAAAAACATGAAGAAAGCCGAACAAACAAAACATAAACAGTTTGTTATGATAGACAGTTCAGTTTATATTCAATGGGACACACTGACTTATAGCCTTAGCCTCATATTTGAACAATTAATGAATCAGAGCATGACCTTTTCTTGAATGTTTCCAATAATTTATATTTTAATGCTGCTACATTTATCCAGATAGTTTCTTGTTTAGGAAATGGTTAAGCAATATTCGAAGGAAAATATCTACTGGAATTATTAAGAAAACATATTACAATACGTTGTTGGTATCGATGTTTTACTGTATGTTACACTTAATATTTGACAAACCTATCTTTAATCTGACCTTTGCTATAAGACACGCGATGAAATAAGTTCCTCATCATTCCCCTATCCCCGGCCCTACATTATGCTAATCACCTTCCGCTTTGTATTACTGCCGTTGTCTGACATGCATAAATTATACTTTATCTATATTATAAACAAATATACCAGCAGTAAAAACCTGCGAGCCATTATGGGCCTTACTTTTAAATGATTGAATCTTAACTTACTGTTTACATTTAAGGCGATTATACACTTCATTTTCTGGTTCATGCCTGTTCTTCGTTTGGTGCCATTTGTTCTGGTCACATACGATTGCTATCCTCCCCCTTGTTGTGGTATGAATTAACAGTTATGTTGCTAGGCAGTATACAATTGTTTCAGTTAAAGTTTTGTGAAACTCGATCGTCACAACATTGGAATGATATACGAGAAATGTTACTGGAAACAACATTATATCTCCGTCTGTTTTATGTGTTCGCACAGCTAGTTAATGTAATCAGTAAGGCATAACAAAAGAATAGATGTTTTTGTAAATCTGTTTCTGTAGATGTAGTCCTTACAAATGACATTTTGTTTCCAAACAATATTTTGTAAAACTCTTTCTGTAGGTGTAGGTCTATTTCTTACATACATTTTGTTTTCTATCGGTGTTTTGTAAAACGCATCCTGTAAATGTAGCTTATAATTAACGGATATAATTTTATTTCTTATCAGGTGTTGGCATCCTATCCTACTTTAATGAATCACCTAAAGCGTCCTAATATATCATCACCTTGCTAATTTCGCTGATCCCCCCCCCCCCAATATGAAAGCATTATTTCCCTTAATTCAGCAATGAGTTTCATGTTTAGGATTTTTTTCACCTCCAGGAACATTTGTACAACTGTACAGGAATGTCAAGGTACATGAAGCTTTCAGTGTCGAGCATCACAGGAGCATTGCTCTTAGTCTGTAGGCGCTACTTCTATAGCATCACAGGAGCAATGCTCTTGGTCTGTAGGCGCTACTTCTATAGATTATTACGGATGTCAGAGGAAAAACTGATACCATTGTTACTGGTCTTATCATCTCTGTTTTAGTTGCATCAGCAGCCTGTCGGAACGACCTGACATGTCAGCTGACCAATGGAACAAGGGTCGTGCTTGGCAGGCATTCTATCTGTTGTAATGGTCAAATAATACCAAAGGTTCAGGACGATACAAGGCAACGTTGTTGCTGTGACAGTCTCCCTAATGGTAAGGCAAACAAAACACCTAACTCAACTAGAAAGGTGAAATAACACTACTTTACCGCAATTTATTTCTTCATGACTGTAGAAAAATATTTGATAACTTACCAAAATTTGAAGATATCCTCTAAATAAAGGAAACATTATCATTAGATATTTACTCCGTACCGTCATATGTTTGAAATATGTCCAAAATTTAAAACAAATGATAAGTTTTTTAAACAACATAAATTTTAACTGGTATCAACCATGATAACAATGCTATTTGATGAGTATCCTTTTCAAATTTCACTCGATGTATTCACCTTATACAGGAACACAGGAGGTTTTTAACCTTGATCAGGAGATTTGTTGTGAAGGGAACAAGTTCCCGAAAAATGACAATCTGGGACAGGAACGAGTGTGTTGTGGGACAACACCTTATGTACAAGAAAGCGGCAACCTCTGCTGCTTTCCTCATATCAGCAGACAGGAGATAGAGACTACTCATCTATATACCTCTCTAGTTGGTAGGTCAAAATGAATTGTCTCCTTTGTTTTTACTCAGAAATTTCATGAAAGGCTGGTCATGTCGTCATTAATACAAAAATCGTAAACAGGGAATCAAAATTATAGGGTGGCATTGTAGTGTTAATTTAAACTTCTCCGTCAAACGAGATGATGAGTTGAGCGGAGTATATACACATGTAGAATGGAACCTTTATTATAACTAGTTTGTTCGGGTGGTATTGGTATATTTAAGAGAAACAATTAATGTAACAAAATGTTATCACAATAAATCGTTTTAATGCTTTACATGTCCTAACTTATGCACAATTTACATTTATTTTTCAACACTTTTAAATACTTTTACACTAAAAAATGTATAACAAAACAAATCAGTTCTATACTTCACACATCAGTTGTACACTTTACACGTCAGTTATACACTTTACACGTCAGTTAAACACTTTAAACACCAGTTGAACACTTAACACGTCAGTTATACATTTTACACACCAGTTATACACTTTACACATCAGTTGCACACTTAACACATCAGTTATACACTTTACACGTCAGTTATACACATTACACATCAGTTATACACTTTACACACCAGTTATACACTTAACATGTCAGTTATACACTTTACACACCAGTTATACACTTTACACACCAGTTATACACTTTATACGTCAGTAATACATTTATCACGTCAGTTAAACACTTTAAACACCAGTTGTACACTGTAAACGTCAGTTATACACTTTACACGTCAGTTATACACTTTACACGTCAGTTATACACTTTACACACCAGTTATACACTCACACCAGTTATACACTTTACACATCAGTTATACACTTAAAATGTCAGTTATACACTTCACACATCAGTTATACACTTCACACATCAGTTATACATATTTAACATCAGTTATACACTTAACATGTCAGTTATACATTTCACACATCAGTTACACACTTAAAATGTCAGTTATACACTTCACACATCAGTTATACACTTCACACATCAGTTATACATATTTAACATCAGTTATACACTTAACATGTCAGTTTACATTTCACACATCAGTTATACACTTAAAATGTCAGTTATACACTTTACACGTCAGTTATACACTTTACACATCAGTTATACACTTAACACACCAGTTATACACTTTACACATCAGTTATACACTTAACATGTCAGTTATACACTTTACACGTCAGTTATACACTTTACACGTCAGGTATACACTTTACACATCAGTTATACACTTTACACACCAGTTATATACTTAACACGCCAGTCATACACTTTACACATTAGTCACACTTTAAGCATATTTTTTTTACACAATATACTTAACATACCAAGTATGCACTAAACATGTCAATCATTTATGACAGTTATGACAGTTATGACACTCTGACAATAATTTCTCTCATCCTTCAACTATAAAATGAATATTATAAATAGCCAATTTTACTGAACACATTTTTTCATAATGTTTTGTTATTTTCAGGGAGAAATGACACTTGCTGTGGGAATGAGAAATATGACCCTGCGACTAAAGTCTGTTGTACAGATGACAACTTTGAGGTTAGGCTATATCCTAGAGATCAAACCAAGGAATGCTGTCAAAGGGATTACATCAGTAAGGCCACCCATGAATGTCAAATGAGTGAAGAAACAGGCAGGTTAACATCCATGTTAAAATTTATCCGTCCCTGCGGAAATGTGGAGATTGATACTCGCGAAGACCTGTGCTGTAATGGAAAGCCACATCGAAATGTACTGCATATTTCCTCCTTCTCCTGTTGTGGGGATGAGACCTTTAACATTAACACTCACCACTGCTGCAATAACATCTTTCCGATTGCCCGGAATATGCAGTGTTGTGGATCCCATCCTGATGGTAGGTGTATTATAGTATCGTGTTGTGGATCACATCCTGATGGTAGGTGCATTATAGTATCGTGTTGTGGATCCCATCCTGATGGGAGGTGTATTATAGTATCGTGTTGTGGATCGCATCCTGATGGTAGGTGTATTATAGTATCGTGTTGTGGATCCTATCCTGATGGTAGGTGTATTATAGTATCGTGTTGCGGATCCCATCCTGATGGTAGGTGTATTATAGTATCGTGTTGTGGATCCCATACTGATGGTAGGTGTATTATAGTATCGTGTTGTGGATCCCATCCTGATGGTAGGTGTATTATAGTATCAAGTACTTATGGTAAACCTCTGGTCAGTTCGGACAAAAAGAACTTATGTAACTTTTTGAATTACACAAAATCACAGTTCTGAAAAAGAATGAGAGTTGGAACAATCCGATTCAGTATTAGCATCATGGTGAACAATCTACAAATCAGAACCTGGAGTAAATCAGTTTGGAAAATAGATGAGAGTGTCAACAGTCTGACTCTGTATTGGCATTAATGGTGAACAGCCTACAGAACCCGAGTAAATTGTACTCATCTCTGATATATATGTCTTAAAGTAAAACCTTTTCTTCACCTTCTTTTTAAGATAAGATAAACCCTGATTTGCAATTTTGAATATGACAGTAAAGTCAAATTTTCCCACTATGGTCTCATGTGCCGGATGACTTAATGTCTGCTTACAAAGAGGCTAGCCATCTACTTCTTACACGCCCATCTTTCACAGTTCCTTTCTTGGTTTACAGTCGCATTTTCCAACTTCATTCAACTTCTCTTTTCAGCTGTTTTCCTTACAGGGAATCAGAAAATAATGGTTATAGAGGTCAGGAGGTCATTTGGTCACTTGACATGACAAACATGATTGTGAACAATTGATTAATAGAATCTCCCCCTACCTTAAGAGTGTGACAGAAATATCCCCTGCCCGAGGGGTGATGTTTTTTGGTTGCTCTGTCGAAGGTTAGACAACAAAAAAAATCACCCTGAGGGTTGGAGCTTTCTCTGTTACACCCTCAAGGAAGGAGATGATTATTTTTTTCCCATCCGATTATTTTAGTCACAACTCCACCGACAGTAGTCTGTTTGTAAACAATAACACATTTGGGGTATGAATATCGTCATTCACTTTTGATGAACGTCACAATTACCGGTGACACATTTTAATGAAGTCACAATTTTAATATATTGAACACATGCTAATCGGCACAAAGCTATCTCCTCCTGGGGGCTGACAAGCTAATTTTTTCCAGCTGAAACAGGAGACACATCTGTGAAGGCTGGGAGAATGGATATTCTTCAATTTCTTCAGACTTAGACTGATAATTTTCTGATGTTCAAATATTCTGACTTTTAGGATTCAATCCCAGAACCCAACGCTGCTGTAATGAAACCCTTGTGGAAATCTCCCATGGCACGGATCAATGCTGTGGAACTGTTACCATGGACGCCAGGACTCATGTTTGCTGTAATGACCAAGCATACGACAAATCAACAGTCAAATTCTGCAAAGGTAAAAGATTAGAGCCCACATTCATAAAAAAACTACTTAACTTTACTGAAGTTATACTGAAGTACCAAATATAACTTCAGTAATAACTTAAAAGTATATTATAAATATTTTATTTCACCTGGATACCTAAGCAATCATGGCAAACAAATGAGATCAAGGGAATATGCCAGACCACAAGGCCAATCCTTGTAGCATAGCTATATTAGATTTTTCATGCCCAGCGATTTTATGTATGGTTATGGGGTGGGGATCTCAACTGTTTCCAAGCTTTGACTCAGAAACTAGGTCCCTAGAGTTGTGGCCAGACCCCAGGATCGATTCTAATATCGTGACTGCATTTGTCTCTTTTTGCCAAGCATTTGTATATACAGTTTTGGGGTGGCGATCTCAACCGTTTCAAAGTTATGACCCAGGGGCCAAGTCTGCAAGGGTGGGGCAGACCCTGGGATCAATTCTAATATCATGACTGCATTCGTCTCTTTATGCCCAACAATTGTATATATAGTTTTGG